CCTCAGAGCAGGGTCACTCTCTTTTTTTCCTATTCAGGTCTCTCTCAATAATGAAATAGTCCTTTCCTAGACACTTATTTTCTCCATGTTCAAGAACCACAGCACAGCACAGCAATCATCCAGTCTTCTCCTTACTGATCTCCGGTCTCCATTTTTTTTCTTACATCTCCTCACCCTCCTGCTCTGTTATTTTTCCAGTGCATGATACTAAAACTACATACTAACAACCTAAAGCTAACATGGCGGCCTCCCTCTATCATGTTTTGAATTCTTCTTAAATACTACATAATATGTCATCACAGAGGTGTAACCAACCTGTGCAATTAGCCCAGCCTGATGGGCAGCCTGTCCATCAACCTCAGAGCCACAATGGATTGGTTCTAAAACACAGGGGGTAGGGCTCCTTTTGCTGGAGAAGAAGGAGAAAGCTTCTAGAACTTCCTCACAGGAGCCATCTTTGTGGTTTCTTGGTCCCATCCCCCCACCACCAAAAATCAGACCAAGTAAAACCATGACGCTCTTCCTCTCCAAAATCTTCCGTGACTCCTCCACAAATGCCCTCAGCTGGTACCCAAACATCTTCTTTAACAGCAGCTCCTTCCTGCACTCTTCATCCCAGCAGGAGATCATTCAGCTCTTAAAAATGCTCCTCATGTACTCGAATTTCTCCTTTGACAGCAGCTGAGCTCTTTTTCTAACTGGCTCGCACACAATTCACGTTCCATGGCTTTATTTATCTCAAATTTTATCTGTTTATCTGTAACACTCAAGGCCACAATGAGAGGCTGCCCGCAGTCTGTTGCTGGATTCCCACACCTACCTTTCCCTCCATTTCTTATTTAAAGCTCATTAATCCTTGTGTTAATTAGGTTCCCCCTCCTCCCTGGCCTCCTGTGGATGTCTCGGTGTTCAGCCAGGGCTCAAACCAACACTCCTGGGGATGCTGAAACAAAGTCTGGTGCCATTGGGTTTTGTAAAACAGTTTTGACAAACTCGTGCCTTCTTCCCAAGGTGATTCAGCCCTTTTAATTCTGGAARTTTGTATCCATAATTTCACTCTGCCCAGTTTCATCGCAGTAAAAGTTGTCAACAGCACWTGGAAAGGTCCCTTCCCCTTTGACTGGAGTGGAGCTGTGCCTCAGTTTCTCAAGCAGACTCARTGTCCTGGTTGGAACTCGTGCCTTGGTGAGTCCAGTCCCATCTGTCTGGAGATCTTCACTGCTCGCTGCAAACCCTGTAAGGTTTTACTGAGAGAAATGAGGGAATTATTCAAATCAACCCCTCCTTTTCTGTGTGTGCTCCCTGAAGTGTGGATCAGCCACAGAGCGGCTCCCAGGGGCTGATTTTGCTGAATTCTAATTCAGAGTAGAGCACAGGTAAGGCTCAGACCCAGTCAAGGAGTTTTCCTGACACATTTTACCCGACTGTAATTTGACTGTATAATTAATTCTCTCCACTTTGCCCCTAACTTGGTGCCTCTAAGGAGCATGAAAATCCCAAAATATTCCCAAGGCTTTCCTGGGCTGCTGCAMCATTTCTGCAGGACATTCCCCAAGGCTCCCCCAATGTAGATTTTTTTGGTTCAGCATTACTTCAGTCACTTCTCTTTTCTTCTGGCCACCCAGAAAAGGTGTCCCCCAGAATGAGGAGGGATTTATACCCCACTTTTCTGGGCAATTCAGTAAAATCAATCTGCCAGAATTCACCTGGAACATTTCCAGATTTTATGGCTTCCTGGCATAATGTTGTGAGCACTGTTAGGGTTGTTTATTTAACAAAGAAACAGTGTTAAATGTTTCTGTGCATTGTTGGATTCCTGATTGTACAATCTGAGCCATTTTAGAACCAATTACAGATTTTTGCAAATGTTTCAAAAGTTTTTCATCACTCCAATGAGTGGCTTTGTGTTTGTTATCCCCCATTTTACACAAGATCAATTCTGGGACTATTTTCTGCCTGCTTGGGGTAGCTGCACCACCTCATAGATCAAATATTCTAGGATTCTACTGTTCTTATCAGCTCCTGCACTGGCCAGGCTCAG